CTTACACTAAGCTTTTTAACTTTATTGTGAAAGCAGTTTACAGACATAAATTGCACAAGGACGAACATGCAAATATTTATTTCGTGCGGATTTCAAAGCTGCCCCCGTACGCTTTAAATGTAGCTATAATGGTCTACTTGCTACGTTATTTATCTCATTCGTATACGGGTTATTGTGAATTTACAACGCAGATAAATCCCTAGCACAGCTCTTTCCAAAGCTCGCTGATTCACATTGTGATTCCTCGTGCGGTCATAGAGTACTTTATACATAGTAAGAATTATGCAGCATTGCATAACTACGGAAGTAAGTAAAGACTGGTATTATTTATTGATTGTACGCTTTTTTTAAGATTCTACAGTTTACTACGTTAAAAAATTAATATGTATGTAATTAAGTAAAACGAATAGTCTTACCTAGTTGGAAATTCACCGAGCACAGAACTATTAGTAGGTACCTGTTTTTGCTCGCCATTCACTTAGTGCCTATCCACCTCAAAGTCTACTTCACCTGAGAATGCTTCGTGTATTTTCGACTGTAGTGTGTTTTTCCTAATGTAGTAGTATTGGGAGTAGTTATGGTGAGATTAGTGGTAACAAGGATAGTGCAACTGGATGGCGGGAGGTGCTCTTCAAACTAGGTAAAACGAATCATTTTATTTTATTACGCGTATCTTAGCTGGTTAATTTTTTTTAATTCGTTAATATAATGGATTTTTGCAAAGTAACATCTGGTTCTATTAATTTTATTTTAAAGTGTCTTCAGAAAACACACAATAGGTCACGCCTATAATCATGCAAAGAGTTAGGTAGAGTTCAAATAGCAGAGAGCTTCTAAGGTTACGTTTAGAATAAATTTATGAGCGAATGGTATAAAATTCTGAAAGAACTAATAACCCGTCGCCTACACAATTGCAAACTCTATTGCCAACATAGTACCAATAAGTTCTAGGCCTGGGGACTTCTAGGTTGTAAATTGTGTGTGTCTTTGGCTGTAGATTTGTACGTATTTTGTGTAAAAAGAAATAAAACAAGTAATGTTTAATATTTTTTTTCTTAATTGAAATTAAAATTTGCGGCATCGTTATAATAATTCTTTTACAAATTAAATTCTTTTACAAATAACTTCATTTACATAGTGATGAACAAAATTACGTTGAATCGTTTGGCTACATGTTTCACGTTACGCGATAATAAACAATGTCACTTAATTAATATACCGAAATACCATGACCCGTAAAGTATTATTGTTTTATTGTTCATTTTACAGATTTGCGTGTCATGAAGGTAAAAAATAAAATGGTATTTACCTATATTCTATAATATAATTTTCCACAAGTAATTATCTTTCATACATATTTGATTACATGGTATTAAAAAGCAGAAATTTGACAAAATTTACTCCTTAGAATTAATTGTGACTTGTGCTTCTAAGTTATCAAGTTCACCATAACGAAACATTTAGTATATAACACTTGTGGAATTACTTTCGTGTGTGTTTCTCTTCATTAAATTTTTCTTATATCTTTATTCATTCAAAACATAGGCCTCTCCTATAGATTGCCTCTTTGTGTTAAACGGGATATTTTCCACAGCTACGCACTTGGTTAATAGTTAGTAAGGAAAATAAAATATAAAAGTAGAATACATTAATGATGTTCTCTATTATAGATTACACTTGCATGGTATAAATGATCAGAACATTCATTTGAAGACGAAAATTGTTGCGAGTGGGAATCGAATTCACGACCCGCATGATTAGAATTATTTAATTAATTATTTGAGTTAATAATAGATTACCTTCTAAAGTTTTACACATATTAAGTTCCAGATTAGGCCAATTATAGTCAACCTCGATTTATTTAGTGATACAAGAGAACACAGTGTTAAATCAATAAATGGAAAAGTCTCATAGACGAGAATAAAAAAGAAAAGTTTAAAAAAGGGATAAGTTAAGTCATTATTGTAAAAAGCAATAAAACTTAATTAAAAAAAAAACAACTGGCACGGGCACTGGCTTCCTCTCGTTTTTTAGGTTTAATTTTTGGGTTTTAGGGCAAGGAACTATGTGTGTTGGCGAATTTTGCATGTCTAAAATATTTTTTATTTCTCAGACATGCAGGTTTCCTTACGATATCCTACCTACCGATTAATGTATTTAGTTCCAAATAATATCCAATCAAACCGTTGTAATCACGATATATATTTCAAAGTAGATTAATAATTACAACACTTATGTAAATCTTATATTTATAACATCCGGAACTGATTGAATACCGGTTCAAATGGACCGACCAAAAAATAAGTAGTATGCAACACTAACATGTTTACTTTGTATGAGAGAAAAATTAAATGGACGAGTTAAAGTGAATTAACTATCGATCTAATACCGGAAGCGGTCAAGTAATAAATCAGTACTGGTTACTGTTTTGGAACTTTATTTTAATAGAACTTAGTAATAACAGAAATAATAGGCAAAAAACAATCACACAAAGAGATATGAAGAGGGCTATGCTCGGGGTTAATCTCCATGATAAACTTAGAAATGAGGATATCTGCAGTAAAACCAAATTAATCTACACAGCCCAACGGATTAGTTACCTAAAGGGGCAATGGAACGATAAGCGATTGGGAATAAAGGTTCTCGAGAGGCAACCTCGTAATGATAAGCGAAGTGTAAGGCGGCCCCCCACTAGATGGATTGAAGTCCTGATAAAATATGCAGGAAGTAGATGAATGCAGGTGGTTCAGGACCGTTCTTTAGGGTTTTTGTTGCTTGAGGGAGACCTATGTTCAGTGCGGAATTGTAAAGAGCAGTAATTATAATGATTATGATGATGAAGCTATAACAAGAATATAGCCAGAATGTCATCGATATTGTTTCATTAAAACTAACATAAAAGCACAATTTTTCACCTTTCGGCGTAGATTTTTACTTATTTGTATGAAACTACCATTAAGGATATAATAAAAAAAATCGCAAACGTTTCGCAAACGTCGGAAATATCGTGTTCCAAAAGGCGAAGATAAGATACCTACATACAAAAAAATAAAGTCGGATCGAGAACCTACTAGTTCTGAAGTCGCCAAAAATATGGCCGTAATGAATACAGTTTCTTAACAGACTATCTTTTACCTGTTATCTCCTTAAATAAATCAAATATATAAAAATTAATGCCGCATCTAAAATACGAATAAACAAACAGTTTGTTTGCATTTTATGCGCAGTTCACCAGGCTGTGGTAAAACTTTGTTAACTTATACTTGCCCTTGTGCGAAATTTTAAAGGAATAGCACAATTACGGTTGGTGGCACGCGTATCGTTCCGACAAATTTATTTGAAAGTTTTACATCATTCAATTATAATTATGGTATTATCATTCTTAAATTTTTACAATATTTACATAATTATTTCTTCTGTGGCAAAAATTTACCATCTAGCTTTCAATAAAAAGCTATTACGGAGCTTATTAAAAATAAAAAATAATAAAAATTCGAGGTAAGTTTCCCTAGAATGTTAAGATTAAAGATTCCCAGAACATCTAATAAGCTAATATAATAAAATCAAACGGTTTTGTAATTTATGGTACTTATGGTAACGGTTATATATTAATTAGTTATGAAAAAAATGCCGTGGTAGCTGAGATGGTTAACGCTCGCTGTAAATATAACAGAACACGAGTAACCCGGGATCGATCTCCGCCAGCACCAATGAAATTGTTAATTGCAATTTTAAGTGCTTATTTACCAGTGGGACGTTTATAGGCTGTATCTTTACTTATGAAAAAAAAAGTTGTGATAAATTACGCATTATTTAAATTATTAATATTACATAAATTCTGATTAATGCTTTAATCTCTTAATTTTTGTATTTAATATATTTCACTACATAATATGAATACTTGTGTCTTTTATCAAATGGAACACCTGAAATTAAGTCAACGCTTATAATTTATGATTTCTTAAAAAATATTATGCTTTTGTTAGTTTGTTAGACTTGTTGGTGTTAAATAATTAAGAACACAAAATAATAAATTATAAGAAATTATGGCAAAAGAGGCAATGCAATATAGGGCGGTTTATGTTCAGGGGTGAAATTTTATAGGTTATAATGAAATATTAAAAGAATAGGGTATATAATATATATGGGTAAAAATAACTACTTCGTTAGAAGGAAGACTATACTAGTCTCTTCTTGAATTTATAATGCAATAACTGATATCCATACGCATCGCTGGGCGTACAGTATTAGACGATAATAACGTAGATATAAAATATCAAGATTTTTTTTTAAGATACTATCGTAAAATCAGTTCTTAGTGAGCATCTACATTGCAAAAGGTGTAACTATACTAAATTTTAAATCGATTGGGTGTATAGTTTTAGAAATACTGTGATGAGTTAGTCAATCAGTCAGTGGTATTTACAAGTACTCATATATATATATATATATATATCTTTGATACATAAAATGTGAACATAAGCCTTGCCCCTAAATTGTTAGATAATAGGTGAGATTTTGATGATAAAATCCTGACAAAAACAGATGGGACCTATGTTCATCATTGCGACATATTGAACATTCCACTTTTATTAAACAAATGTGATTGATACTGTTTTGTATGGTTAACAAAACGCCGGAGTAAGACTCCAATAAATTCCGACTAAATCGTCAACCTAAGCCGCGGCTTAAGACTGTTTGGTTACAACCGCGTTGCCCATCACGATAATATTTGTGGTTCGTTTTATTTACATAAGAACATTATTACTTTCAAAATAAAAATATATCTATACCTAACTATAATTTCGAATAACGTTCAATTCTTAATTCACAAATATACATAATCTATCACCCCTGAGTATTAAGACGGAATGCCGTGTTTTGAGGAAAAATAGTATCTGGTTCTCTGAACTTACCATAGAATCACAGCAGTATTTGCATAGTTCCGTCACACGCACGCCGTAATAATAATAATAATAAATTTACGCATACCCCTAAGCATGCCAAATCGGGCAGTCGTGAGGGCTCTAAACCCAATGCTGGTGACCTATTTGGAAGCCAGCCGGGACCTTTGCGAAACGGACTCGATTCTCTTTGGCGCCGCAGTGGCAGTTTGCCGTATTATTGGCGCCAAACTTCCCATGGCTGGACGCTCTACTACACAAAGTAGCGCCATCCTAGCCTGGAGAAAAAGAATCGAGGACCGTATCGCAAAGGCAAGGGCCCTTATCGGCAGACTGACAAGCTTCAGGTCGGTTAATAATAGACCGAGGATTATGCGCACCGTTAGGATGGCATTTGCTGGGACAAATATCAGTTTGTACCAGCCGGATATCACGCAGAAACTAACGGAGCGCATAAAAGACCTGATGCAAAAGATCGCTGCTTGGGGGAAGTGGATTCGACGATTTAGCGAGAGGTCAAGGCGGTTCAACAAGAATCGTCTCTTCCAGAGTAATCAGAAGAGGCTCTATAAATCATTGGAGCGACCAAAGGTATGTGGAGCGGGCCAAGGACCAGATCAGGCTGACATTATCGCATTCTGGCGTGGCCTGTGCTCAGAGCCCGTAAACCACAGCGAGGCCCTTTGGATGGAAGTTGTGGCGAGCCAGGGTGCGAGTGTTACGCCTATGGACCACATCACCATAACGCCAGAAGACGTGGCTGAGGCGATCCGTAGGGCCCCGAACTGGAAAAGTCCGGGGCTCGACGGGCTGCATCATTACTGGCTGAAGGGGTACATAGTGTGTCACGCTGTGCTCGCCCGACAGTTTCGAGAGGCTCTCGACCAGAAGTCACTCCCGAGCCTCTTCACTACTGGGATCACTCACTTGGATTCCTAAAGATCAGGATACCACAGACCCGAGCAAATACCGCCCCATCACGTGTCTACCCACCATATATAAGACACTGACATCCATTTTGAGCGCGAGAATCACTCGTCACCTGGAGCTAAACCAGGCGATGTCACGGCGGTGGTCGTGGAATTAAGGAACCACTCCTCATTGACGCGGTCATAGGCAAAGTGGTGAAACGCAACCGTCGGAACTTCTCTGCCGCCTGGATAGACTACAGAAAGGCGTTCGACTCGGTGCCCCATACATGGCTAAAGAGGGTCCTCGAGCTGTACAAGATTGACTGTACAGTTAGAGACTTCCTCGAGCAGTGTATGGGGCAGTGAAGTACGATCCTTTGTCATCTGGGCGAGCGGATGACGGCTGCGGAGAACCACATAAGGATAAGAAGGGGTATCTTCCAGGGCGATTGTCTGAGTCCAATCTGGTTCTGCCTCTCTCTTAACCCTCTCAGTACCTTACTGGAGGGCTCCGGGAGGGGATTTCAGCTACGGAAAGGAGGGACAAAAGTGACCCACCTTTTCTATATGGATGACCTCAAGTTATTCGCCTCCAGTCGCTCCCATCTTATGGAACTTCTAAACATCACTTGTGAATTTAGCAGTTCCATTGGAATGGAGCTGGGGACGGATAAGTGTGCGGTCCTCCATGTTGAAAGGGGAAGGGTTGCTAACTCTGAGGGCATAGACTTGTCTATGCCCGTCAACTTAAGGACCCTTTCCGAGGCTGAAACATACCGATACCTGGGTATGTCACAAAACATCGGTATCGATGAGGCTGGTATGAAACAGTCAGTTTGCGATGTGTTTTATGCACTCTTGACCAAAGTGCTTAACAGCCTTTTGTCCGGTGTGAATAAGTCACACGCATATAACTGCTGGGTCATGCCTGTCCTCATGTATACCTTTGGCATACTCAGGTGGACTCAGACTGAGCTTAACGCCCTGGATAGAAAAGTCCGCACTACCATGACGTCCCATAGGATGCATCATCCGAGATCGTCGGTAATGAGGCTGTACTTGCCGCGAAAGTATGGTGGGCGTGGCTTTCTGAGCGCGCTCACCATGCATAATCGTGAAGTGTGTAGTCTCCGTCAATACTTCTTGGCGAGATTGGATGATCCATTCTATAATGACGTCATTTCTAGTGATAAAGGGCTTACCCCTCTATCCTTAGCCAAACGAGCAATGGCAGGACCCAGCAGTGCTTAGCATTTCTGACCGGGAGACCGTATGGAAGGAGAAAAAGCTCCATGGGAGGTACTACAAGGCTCTACATGAGCCCTTCGTAGATACAGTCGCCTCCCTCAACTGGCTACGTTTCGGTGATCTCTTCGGGGAAACCGAGGGTTTTGTCTGTGCAATACAGGATCAGGTTATTAAGACCAACAACTATCGGAGATACATCCTAAAAGATGGCACCGTCGACGTCTGTCGAGCTTGTCGCCATCCCGGGGGAGTCACTCAGGCATGTCATCTCCGATTGTTCGGCGCTTTCTAACTCTGAGTACTTGCACAGATACAACCTAGTAGCCAGAATTCTTCACCAGGAGCTCGCTTTGAAATACGGTCTCGTGCATCGGAAATTGCCGTATTACAAGTACTTGCCGGAAGCCGTGCTCGAAAATGATCGCACCAGGCTCTATTGGGATCGGGCCATCATCACAGACAGGACTATTCTTGCGAATAAGCCTGATTGTGCTGATGGACCGGGCACAGTCAAGGATATTTTTGGTCGATATTACCATTCCGTATGACGAGAACCTCGTGAAAGCCGAAACAGATAAGCAAACAAAATAACTGGACCTGGCTCACGAGGTGACCGACATGTGGTGTGGACTGCCGACCGAAATTATTCCTGTAGTCGTCTCTGCAAACGGGCTAATCCCAGTCAGTCTCTTGGGTCATCTAAAGCGGCTGGGTCTATGTGGCGGACCGCTCCAGGTTCAAATGCAGAAATTGGTACTCCTCGATACAGCTCGCATCGTCCGCCGGTTTCTTTCCCTTTCCCCCTAACCCTCGGCCGTTTCGTCTCGCCTGCCGAGGGCTTCCATCTGGTTGGATCTTATTTATTTATGTCTTTTTGTATTTATATTATTTTATTGATATTTATGTATATTTATCTTTTCATTTTAATTTATAATTATATATTTATAGAGCCCAACCAGATTAGAAAATTATATAGATACCCCAAAAATAATAATAATAATAATAATAACCTTTATTTGCGAAAATATGGTTGAACAATGGTGTTTGAGTTTAATTCTTTTTACATATTCTACCTCAGTGGTGTGCAAATATTAATGGTCAAGTAACCTAAACAACAGTACTTATCGTAATTTAACAAAATATAAAATTATTTAATATTATTTACTTGATTTGATAATTAATTTATTATGCCACAGTGTCAGAAAAAATATAAGTAAGTATTATTATATCAAGTAAGATTATTATTATAGGTCAATGTCATATATTAATTACTATTCGTACGTCAATAATTATATAATGATACATATCCAATTGTCATTAATTTCTTTCTATTTTTACATCAAAGTTATTAATTAATTAAATATATAAGTCAAATTTTTATATAAAATAATATCAAAATCATTATTTTTTTAAACATTAGAATCTTGTAATTACGTAATTAATCATATTCTAAAATTATCATTCATTATTACTCGTATGTAGGTCGTTATCGTTTAAGAACTCTTCTACAGAATAATGACATTTAGAGAGCAACAATGCCAAAACAGATTTCTTAAATGACAATAAACTTTTACGCTTTAAATTATCAGGTAATTTAAATAAATTCTAATCGACATTGCAGAAACATTTCTTTTTGTAACTTTTAGACGATTTGCTGGTGCATATAACCTATTCTTGTATCTACCCTTACTTTCACTCACATCACACTTACGTTGAAATAAATGTGGATGCTTATGAACAAACATGCACATTTCAAATATGTATATTGAAGGCAAAGGCAGGATCTTTTTACTTTTGAACAAAGGTTTGCAACTCTCTAAAGGACCAACACCACAAAGAGCTCTTATGCAGCGTTTTTGTGCTTTAAATGCTTTATCCGAATCCACCGAATACCCCCAGAGTAGAGCACCATATCGTATTATGGATGAGATATATCCATGATATGCCATCAGTGCAGCTCTTTCTGATACAATATTTCTTAGTCTATGCAATGCAAAGGTGAAACGATCTATTTTAGTACATAGGCTTTCTATATGAGGCTTCCAACTACAAAATTTATCAAATATTATTTTTAGAAATGTCGTGGAAACGACTTCTTCAATTATCGAGTTGTTATATGTGAGTTTAATGTCATTTGAAATATTTTTGAGGGTTTTGTATTCAATGAATTTCGTCTTATTTATATTAATATTTAAATTATTTATATTCATCCACTGTATGACCTCATTTAGAGCACCATTAGCTGCGATTTCAAGTGCAGATCTGTTATTACATTTAACTATAAGAGTAGTGTCATCAGCGAATAAAATGCATTTGCTTGTAGTAAATTCAGGTAATTTCAAAACATCGATTACTAACTTTATTACTTAGTTTTCACTTACTTCCAGATGTCTGAATAGTCTGAAGTTTTATAAACGTGCTAAGTACCGATGACAATACAATAATTTCATGACAATAGCCTTTTATTTAATAGTATGATTGCAACTGATGGTTATGAATATTTTTTATTTATAAGATATAATGGTTACAAAGTAACTGATACTCTTCACCTGATAATTTTCGTTGGATTACTGTCTTATCTGGTATTGCCGTCTTATCGAACGTTGCGAGTGAGGCAAATGATTTTACGCGTACACTCCGGCACTATAACATGAGACTGGTCACCGGGACCGAAATTCGAGCTGGAGGACATTTTTTACAATTAATCAAACATTATTGTGATAACACGTTTTAATTATAAAAATCGAATAGAATAAGTATTACTAATAAAGGCAAATGTTGAAGAGAAGTTAATTAAAAAATATCTCAAACATTATGTCCTTTGCATCTTTTAAATTCAAAATGATTTCACTGCACACGCACATATTCGTAAGGGTCGATCGGTATGCAAAACGTTGTTTCTCATAAATCATGTTCAATTTTCGATAATTTCAAATAAATTTACAAGCCTTATTTATTCGTACTTTCAAAAACTTTAGTAAAGATCCATCCATTATTTATATATTTGAACTTAAGTTTAAAATTTAGTTACTCTGAAAAATAACCCTGTATACACGTATAGGCCACTAAATGGAGAGGCTGCAGACACCGTGGCTATTCCCGTGCCGTGCCGTGCACTGCACACCCTAATTATGAGTGAAAATAGGGCAGACATAATATTATCTTGTAATCTGAGAGAATTCCGAAAGGTCGTTTTATATTTTTTATTGTAATTTTGAATTTTTAAGGATATTACGTAGGTATATATTATGGGTTTTTAAATCATCATAATTACTTATTAATTAGTACAATACTGCAATGTATAGCGTACTAAAATAGTAGCTGTGTCGGCGTCGTTACGACAGCACCGACGGTGTACGCGGGGAGTACGAGAAGCGCGGGAGGTTTTTCTCACCACCGCGCCTAAGACCGTCACTCGTACTCCCTGCGAACATCGTCGGTGCTGTCGTAACGGCGCCGACAGCTGTGAGTACAAAATAAATAAATGATATATAATCATTTCTTGCGGTCGAGTTACAATTGTCACAAATCTAGTCTAGTTTAATACGTAAATTACAGTTACATTAATAAATTTTTATATTAGTAGTATAGTTGTAGCACGAATGGGTCATCTTGACGGGGGAAGGACCACGATCTCAAAGAATACCAGCGTAAAATAGAAGCTTAATGCTGCTGTGTTTCGTATGGTGATCGTAGAGAACCGGAGACCCTTTTTACTGGAAACGAGGCATTCCATCTTAGTCTTCACGGTGTAACGCTTCCCCCCTCTATATATAAAAA